AATCTGTCTTCCCCATCCAGCCATTTATCTAACTCCCTGTTACAGACTGAGAGGCTGCCCCCATTCCTTCATCGCCTCCTGCCTTTTTTGTCTGGAAGATCTTCATTCCCTCAAGTGGGACGCAAAGTAAATGCTTTCCGTGGCTGATTTGCAATACATAAAAGTCAATCTCATTCAAACCACTTCACCAAATGCAGAGGCTTTTATGTGGCAACGGTTCCTCTACAGTGTCGTCGATGGGTGGAGAGCAGATTGTGTTGAGGAGGTGAAGGAAGAAGGTAAAAAAAAGAGTTATCAATTAATAAAGGCTTTGGTAAATCATTTTGAGTGGGGCCAATGAAGATGAATGGCAGAAAGACAGTGAGAGCAGAGAGGTGAATGTCTTTATGAATAATATAAGCAGGGGAGTCAGAGGGGCTAAAATAACAATAACACACTGATATTCATAACAAAGCTACAGCACTTGTCTGTGTCAAGGAACCAGAGTCAGCGTGTTAACCTTGAGCTGACATTGTGAGCGCGAGAGCCTCACGTTCAATCAATGAAGGGCTTTTCTCAGGGAGTCCACTAATCTCACAGGGCAGCAGAGGGTTCATCAGAGCTGAGAGACCCCAGGGACTGACTGAGGTAATTGGGTTAGCTGAGGGAGTGTGTGTGTGTGTGTGTGGGCGTGTACATCTACTTATGTCTTTGCGAGAACAATTTTGACCATAGACCTTACAGAGTGAGGACATTTCGGGAAAGTGACGAAATTTTGGCCTTTCCTGATCTTTTTAAAGGTCTGTTAAAGGGTTTGAGGGTTAGGGTTAGAATTAGGTTAGAGTTAAAACACAGCACTTGAGTGCTTCAAAAGGCACAGGCACATAAAAATACTAATTATTTCCTTAGTAAAAACCATAATTGATTTATTGAAAAGCCCATCACAACAAATAATTTTTGTATCATAAAAAAAGGTTTCACAGGTGGGGCAAGGGGAGCTCCAGCCAATTATTTAATTTTTCAGGGCTCTCATGGTCTCTCCCCAGTGAACCCAGTAAATGTCAATATGACAGCATTACATAATAATTGATAAATAAACAGAAGGGTTTCTAATTTAAAAAAGATGAAAATAGATTTGATAATAATCATATTAGATATAGCCTATAGCATGATATGGCAATTCCTACATATATAGGTTTTTTGTTGTTGTTAGGGTTAGGATTAAGGTTTTTATTAGGCTGCCTCCATTGAATGGAAGTCAATGTGTGTGCGTGTGCACACACAGTGCTGCGTGACAAAAGCGCCTGTGTGTGCATGTGTGTGTCAGTAGGAGGGAGAGAGTGAGAAGTTAATGGGACGTGTGACAAGGTTGATTACTGAGGCCTCATTGGTTTGGTTGGGTTAATGAAGTAAATGACTTCTTGGGAAACACAGCAGCGAGATCTCCAAGTCCTGAAACACTCAGATGAACCACAATGACCTTCTCATCCACCCCCCAAACACATCTGCCTTCAACATCCTGCTGCCTTCAGTTTCATAAGACCCAGTGAGAGCATTCATGGCGACATGGGTTTGAATCCGTCCTGGTTTACTTTTCACAAGTCCCACAGCTTGTAATCTGTAATACCTCCCTACTGTACAGGCTACACACAGCAATTCATTTAAACAGAGCTGCTCTCTGTTGCCCACCTGCAGTTTACATACACCACACACATACACACTACACACACACAAATAAAGGAAGAGAAAGAGTAATCACAAGACGTTGTTCTCCATTTTGGGCTGAGATAGAGATTCTCCTAATGAGAGCGATAATGATGTCTGAGAGGAAATGCAGAACGGAACAAAACATCAACCAGGATGGGAGCCAAGACAACAATAAAGTCTACCCTAAATGCAGTTGACTGTAGACTCCCTGCTGGCTCCGTCTATGTGAAGAGATGACACCGCGCCCATCCCCCTGCTACTTATAAGGACATTATCATAATGTTGTCTCTGTATCAAGCAGCTCATCTTGAAGTCTTCCGCAAGGCCCGGCGTATGCCGTTGCCTCAGATGCTGGAGGAAGACAGTGGTGAACAGAAGAAATTCTGCCCTAATATTTATGCAAACTGACAGTTCTGGCATCTAACAGCAAGGCCCACGACTGACAGCACCAATCTGATGAATCTTCAAATTGATTGTAAACAAACAGCAGCAAGAAAGATAATGATAGTCCTTCTGTTTGTCCTTCTGCTTTCTGTCACAACAGACAGCTGCAAGAATAAACTTAAAATGGAAAAAAGAATTATGTTGCGGACAGTGCATGGTTGATGTCTTGCGATAACTTTGATAGAGTCGGGTCTAAATCCTGGCTTCTATCCTGCACTGAGGCAGAAGACAAAGAGGTTAACAGAGGCCGTGTCAATTAAACACATGAATAATAATTAGTTCTCAGAAACCGATATTGTTTGTCACGGCCTGTGCAAACCTTCACACCTCAAACATCCACCCTACGACATCCTGTTGAGTTATTCTGTGCATGTGGTCAGATACAGCAGTGTATGTGTGTGTGTGTGTGTGTGTGCGTGTGGGCCTATGTGAGAAAGTCAGAAACAGAAACAATGAGGGAAAGCTCCCCCTGATAACAGTACACTGCCACTTCCCCTGAGACTCTGTGAGTAAAATGAAGACTGAGTGGTTTAGCAGGTGTACAATGCAGCACTGACTGTGATCGAGCTGAATCACTCATCACTCACACATTCAGTGTGTCAAAGTTCCCTTTAAACCTGTGTTAGTGATCTAACAGAGGGCATATAAATGACTCAAACTAAAACATGGACAGAAGGTCTGTACAGTACTAGTCTTGCGCTTTAAGTGATCAATAAGACTGGAAAAGTGCTTTATGAACACAGTCCACTTACAAGAGCAAACATTCTGGGAAACACTTAGAGAGAAGATTTCATTTTTTTTCTCTTAACTTTTTGTTCATATATTTCACATATTCATTGCCATTTGTTTGTGAGTTAGCACGATTATGCAAAAACTACTGGATGGATTACCACGAACCTTGGTGGAAGGATGTGGTATGAGTCAGGAAAGAACCCATTAAATTTTTGGTGAGGATCCAGATCAGAGGGTGGATCCAGGAATTTAGTTTCCTCTTTTTTTAACAGAGTGAGATAGGGTATGTTCCTTGATTTCTTAGAGAGCTATCTGTGAATCTTGATTTTCAAAAACATAGAGACATATTGAGGGGGTTGGTATTGATAAGTGCAATTTCATGTGTATTGAACTAAAAATCTTAACCTAGTGGATTCAAATGCGGTTTTATTGGTTTCATTATAACTACCACCAGTGTGTATATGAGAAACCTAATGTGTCCTTAGTTATAAGGCTTGTTTTGATTTAAGGAGACTGTTGGGTGCATTTCTAGTTTCACTTTAGAGCTTTGATTCTACATTTTGACATGGCACGCATGATTTGCATGTGGTAGTGGTGGCTTAGAACAAAGCAGTTGTGTTAGTGTGTGTAACAGAATATGTGCTATGCAGGTTATGCATACATCAAATAAAAAGAAGAGATCTTGGTGGTCACCCAGATGTTCTTTCTTTCAATTTATGTTAAACCCTCCAGATTGTCCTAGCTGTACAATCAGTGTACAGCAGCCACACACACACATGAAAAGACACCTGGCCCTGCATTTTTTGTTTACTGTACATCGAGCGATCACTGTCCTGACTGAAGCTGCTTCCCAGCAGCAGGATGTGGTGATGCGACACGTCCTCGCTCAACAACACCCACTTCCTACCAGTTTGATAAACAGCCTTGTGGTTTCAGTCTCCTTCTGCCTGTCACACAGAGGTACACACAACAGCTCCACAGCATCGCCATCTGCTCATGTGACATATAAGCAAAGTGAGTTATTGTGCATAATGGTGCTCATGCTTTGCCACCAGATTTACTGCAACAAACTGTAAAGACCAGCAGCAGAATCACTCATAGCTCAGCTGCAGCTCCACAGCCTCACATAGAGTCTGAAGGGGATGAGCACAAATACTCTCAACTCATATCAGAATCAAAGCAGGATGGAATATGTCTCATTTGTTTTAGAGGAAGTGATGTGAGTGGGTCTGACTCATGTTCACCACTGGACATTTATGTATCATATTAAAGTCTGTGCGCCCCAAAAGGTTGATGACATAAAGCCATTAGTCTTCTCTCCTCTCCTCTTTCCTACTCTTCTCTTTTCCGTTCTTTCCTTCTCCTCTCCTCTCTTCTCTTCTCTTCACTTCTCTGCATGGTTGCATTGACACATACGATCCTGTCAGTCAGATCTGTGGGCTGTCAGGATATGAATGTACACGCATCTGATGGAAGGAGGGGGTGTATTAAGCCTGCTGATCCTTCACACTCCTCTTGTCAAACTTAACATGAAAATGAAACTGTGTGTGTTAGTATGTGTGTGTGTGTGTGTGTGTGTGTGTGTGTGTTTGTGCATGTGTATTGGGGGGGAAGAGAGAGAAAGAGAGGGTCAAAGGAGAGGAGCCATGCCTAATCCTGTGGGATGTGAGGGTATCTACTATGTATGGAGATGGGATGTAGAGATGTGTTCAGTGGTGCATGGATCACAAAACCTTCCTAACTGACAGAAGAAACTCTCGGGAGACCAATGTCAAACTGCTAACTGCTCCAAAAAATAATAAAATCGAATAGATAAAAAAGGAAAACTCAGGACCATAACATTGTATTGTACATTGCACCATAACTAAGAATGTTACAGAAATTGTTTACTATCATTGATTAAAAATCATACAAGCAGAGGTATGTAACATATTATCAAACTGTATTATTTCAATTATCATTATTATTATTTGTAGTAGTAGTAGAGGTAATAGTAGGTTAGTAGTGGCAGTCATAGAAAGAACACATTAGCTTGTTCTCTTGAGCTCTACCTCCTCTTCAGGCTGTGGTCTTGATTGAACGGTAGGTGGCGGTGTTGGTCAAATGAAACTCCTTTAACCCGGAAACGGTCGTAGCGGACCTTTAACTTAGCAGGAAGTGGTTTCCCGATGAAGTGACAGTTAGCTGCCATGGCGCTTGATGTGAAATCCAGAGCTAAACGATATGAAAAACTGGATTTCCTGGGAGAGGGTCAGGTAGGCAGAGGAATAAACCCCACTTCACTGTCGCTACCTCCGGGTGCCGGCCCTCCGCAGCGGGTCGCAGCGAGTTGTGTGGAAACAATGATAGCATGCTAACAAGTGTTAGCCGCTTGTCAGTGTCAACAAAGCCCTGATGCTTGCATGCTGTTCACTGCAGCACTGACGATGAAGGAACAAAGTATTGTTGGCCTCAGTGTTTCTGTTCTCACTGCTCTGTTTCTCCTCTGCAGTTCGCCACCGTGTACAAAGCCAGGGACAAAACCACCGACACCATAGTTGCCATTAAAAAGGTACAAAAATGAGCTTAAAGTCAGGACATCTGTTAGCTTTATTGTGCTATGCTAGTGTTTAATAGCTGTTTCTTCGTCTGGTTCCCGACAGATTAAGGTTGGCCACAGAACTGAGGCTAAAGATGGTGAGAGCTGAATGAGTGATAGTAAACATTCAATGTTTTCACTTCACAGTGCAGCTCATGTTTTATATCCTCCTGTCAATGTCTCACTGTATAAACAGGTATCAACAGAACTGCACTCAGAGAGATCAAACTGCTGCAGGAGCTGCATCATCCAAACATCATTGGGGTAAGTGAACAGTCAGCATGGCGCCATATGCTTTTATCTTCACGTTCATACATAAATTAATATAAGTTGTGATGGGGTGGGGGTTATCTTTCTCTCTTGTAAGTGAGTGTACTCATTTGAACTGAGCATTAATACGTGCATTAATATGTGTTGCAGCTGCTGGATGCCTTTGGACACAAATCTAACATCAGTCTGGTGTTTGACTTCATGGAAACAGATTTAGAGGTGAGACAGCTCCTACTCTGTCTGTCTGTGTCTCTGTTAGTAATAAGATAACAGACACCAATATAATATAATGTTTTCCATGCATCAACCCTCTAAGAGTCTTGGGATGTTCTAATTTTGATTCAGTCAAATTAAAATGATTTAGGAAAGGAATTTATATGTTGTTTCCTGGAACAATAAATAAATACATCACCCGTCATTATCAGTTGTGTTACCTGAAATCTAAATATTTAACATGGCCCCTTTGGAAAATAAAGCTCCTGTTTTCCTATCTTATTCATAGCAACTCCTTAAAATACATAATTATTCATTGGTAAAATAGGAAGTGATTCCATTGACCAATGTAATAAACTGTGGCCTCAAAGATTGATTATCACCTTTTGATTACATCATACTATACACAAGGCTATGTCTTTATGAAGATTAACTTTTTTATTCATGGTAATCACAATAATAAAATAAGTTGCATTTCACCAGATGGAAATTTTAGCCCTTATTTCTTCCTAGTTAATAAAGACCAAAAAGAGGCGGCATGTAAAAGTTTGATTTCATCATAGTGGATCTTATTGTAGTAACTGTAATATTCATTTGCTGTTATGATCAGCTTTCACTGTTAATGATGAAAAGCTGTGATTATCAGATGAGAATATAAGCAAAGAAAATACAAGCTGCATAATTAAGATGGCAGTGTGAGTGCTATCATCTGACCATTTAGTGATTCCACTGGGTCGCTAAGGCTTTTATGTTTTCCCCCACCTCCTCCTCTGGATTGTTTTAGCATACAAGGCTCCAGATGGGCGCCCGCCACCGATATATCAGATCCAAATGGAATGATGCAAAACAAGATAAACACACTTTAAAAAGAATCAATATCACTCGGCTCTCACAATGAAATGATGCCATTAGCAACTCACAGGCAGCAGAAAGACAGGACAGGCTTGAGGATGAATTATGATGCTCATCTTATTACTGGTGCTGAAAGACTATTTTTAGGCCACATTTTTAAGATCGGGATGCATGGGCTTAACAGCTATGGATGCTTTTAGTGGAGGTGGTGGAACAATAGAGTTTCTGGGTGAAAGGTTGAATCTGAAATGTGCTGCGTAACGGCTACAGCATTGTCCATTTCTCCCCTGATGTATCCCAGATCGCTTTAATTCTCTTATCTGCTCTGATAATCATAAAATGTTTGGCCTACAGCGATGTAAAAACATGAAGTAATGGATGGATATTATTAGTCATCAGATATCTGCCTTTACTTAAGTGGCTTTGTTTTTATTTTCTAAGGTGATCATCAAGGACACCAGCCTTGTCCTGACTCCAGCCAACATCAAAGCCTACATCCTAATGACTCTACAGGGATTAGAGTACATGCACCAGCACTGGGTCCTACACAGGGTAAGAGTGCTAATACTTCACATGCACACCCATATTTGTTTACTTCTATCTTAGTGAGGACACTCATTGGCATAACACGGTATATTCCATAGACCCTAACTTAAGCCAACAAAACTAAATGCCTTACCCAAACCCTTTTCATAGCCTAAACCTAATTCTAACCCTAAAACCTAAAGTCTTATCCCTCAAACAACAGAAAAGTGAGGACAGGCCAAAGTTCCCTGAATGCCTTCACTCCGTAAAGTCCATAAAATGGTTCTTTAATTGGTCCCTTACAAAGATATAAGTACAAGTACACATACACACACACATACATAGAGTGGTTCGTCCCCTAACCAAGAGGACAAAGGTCCAATCCTCAGCTTCTCCAGTGTACCAAAGTGTCCTTGGGCAAGACAGTGAACCCTAATAGCCTTGCGATTTGAAAAAAAAAAAACCTGGGATATAGAAGCTGTGTGTGTGTATGTGTGTCTGAACAGGTGAAGCTGACTTGTATTGTAGCATTGTAGCAATGGTTGTGAAGACCATTTACAGTCAGTAATGCATATTTTGCTGCTTTGTATATCTAGGATCTGAAGCCCAATAATCTGCTGTTGGACGATAACGGAGTGTTGAAGTTGGCTGATTTTGGTTTGGCCAAATCGTTTGGCAGCCCCAACAGAGTCTACACACACCAAGTCGTTACCAGGTCTGTGCTGTTTCTTTATCTCACAGTATTAATGACACAGAGCTAACACTTCTTTCTCCTCTGCTTTTATTAAACTCATTGGAAATATCATAGATAATCTTATATCTTATTCAGTTTAGATAAATTAATCACATGCTTTATTCTATCAAGTTAAATTTGTCTCATGAGGAATTAACATTGGGTCTGGTTAAGACATGTGATTACTGGAATTCTCAAATTAATGATGAGACCACTTGATGACACTGAATCAGAAATGTGTTTGTGTTTGAGTCCTCATTACAGTATAATAGAATGAATCTTCTTGCTGGAATTGACTTTCATTATGGTTTAACTGGCTAACTGTAAAAACTGAACTCTCTGTCTCTCTGAACACTTTCCCAGGTGGTATCGCTCCCCTGAGCTCCTGTTTGGTGCCAGGATGTACGGTGTGGGTGTTGACATGTGGGCAGTGGGATGCATCCTGGCAGAGTTGCTCCTCCGGGTATACAAACCTCACTTTAAAGACATATTCATTCAATATGCCAGATTGGTGTTTTTCATATCCATGCTCATGTCTCTTTATGTCTCCTTTTGTTGTAGATACCATTCCTCGCCGGAGACTCAGATCTCGACCAGCTGACTAAGATCTTTGAGGCTCTTGGGACGCCCACAGAAGAGACATGGCCTGTTGGTATTTTTTTCCCAGCTATGTCTGTGATTGTATTTGCGTTGGTCAGATGGTAAGAATCCTTGCATACATTTGTTTGTCAACTGTCTCTGCAGGGAGTGAGCAGTCTACCAGACTATGTGTCATTCAAAATCTTCCCCGGCACACCTCTGGAACATATATTTAGTGCAGCAGGAGACGACTTACTAGAGCTTCTACAGAGCTTATTCACCTTTAACCCCTCGACAAGGACCACAGCAACTCAGGTAATAAGCACGCTAAAGCACAGTGGTTGACTTGAAAGGTATAGTTGATTTTCATTTGCTAAACCTTATTTAGTGTATTTTAATCACTTATATAGGTGTCTCCTGTAGTTTTTTGCTTTTTTGGAAACATCAGACTTTATATCATAGCCATATGCTAAGGTGACAAAGATATACATTACACAAAATGACAGGGCTGGGCTATAAAACTTTATCAGTAATTATCACAGTATAATTTTCATCAGTAGCAATAAGGCAAAGTATCAAAATATTATAATATATGATGCATTGTGTTAGCAGAGTGTGGAAGTATAACACAATTGATCTACCTCAGATTTGAAACATGTTTTGCAGTTTATCAAGTTTTTTTCAATCTCTGCTCTTAAAGTAGAGTTTAAAAACACAACCATCACTAAAGTCTTTAAATTATGACATTTAATATTTATAATAAATCTATATTGACTGACATGAACATTTAATTTTGACCATGTAACCCAGCCCTACAAGATGATACTCGTGTGTATAGTTGTAGACATTGCTAGTGCATGATTGGTCATCTGCAGGTGATAACACAGTTACACTTTTGTCTGTTCTTCTCCAGGCTCTGAAGATGAGGTACTTCAGTAATCGGCCTGGTCCCACTCCTGGCCCCCAGCTCCCTCGACCCAACTGTTCAGCTGAGGCTCTAAGGGAGAAGGAAACAGTCGGACTCAAGAGGAAAATAGAAGGACTGGAGACAAGTAAAAAAAACACACACAGTCTAAACTCATATTCACTATCTATGTACATATAGAAAAATATATATTGACATAGTCATACTTCACTTATTGTATTTGCTAAATATACCAAAATCTAAAAGTGTTTCCCTGACCTTGATTTGCCCTGAGTTAAATTAAACTGGTCAATATTATGGTAAAACTGTTCAATTATGGTTTGAACAGGAAAATGAAAAGTGTCTGCAAGTTATGTTTGAAGCCAAATTTGGAAAAGCTGGAAATTTCAGAACATCCTGGTCAGCCCAAAGTTACACATGTAGAATGTTGTGGACTTGTGCCAAAGAAACTGCTCTGTGCGTGGTTCACTGAAATCATAAATCTAGAACACCGCTCTCCTGAACCTACCAATTCAGAGGGTGTTGGCTGCACATTGAACTACAGTTAAATATTCAGAATAAAGTGAAGCAGAACTCACACACGTACAGTTTAGTGGTTTGTGAGAGGGTATGTTTTACTGAGGACGGGCCTTGCTTTTACTGGGAGGTTCAAAGCTTCTCCAGCTTAATCGTGTGGTTTGGAAAATATCTGAGCTGACTATATGCAATGCTCTGCTATCGTATATTACAGGGAGAACATCCAAACACTTACAGCAGATGGAAACTTAAGTGGTTAGCAGACTGCTCTTCATAGGCTTGATTTTCTCGCACATGCAGTGTAGATAGGGTATCTGGCTTTATTGTCCTGAACACAGACTGAATGTTAAACTGAATGTTATCTTTTTTTCCATAGAGTATGTGATGACAGTCTTTGTATTATTTTCAGCTGTGATGAAGAAGAAGCTCGTTTTCTGAACAGATTGGCCATGGGGAATCAGATGGTTGCTTCCCACATTACTCGGGATTGTCCACTGGAAAAAGGACATTTTCGAGGTTATAGCTGTTAAATGAATTGGGTATCTGGGCCTGAACTTAGCTCTATGAATCAAGCTGCTGCCGTGTCCAGCAATGGATGAATGCCAGAGACCGTCTGTGGTCAGACGTTTAAGCATCAGGTAATTCTTCATCAACGTCTAAACTGGGGGAGCCTGTTGGATCTTGTCTATTTATGTGACTGAGAACAACCAAACAAGCGAGTCTGAATTATTTCATGTAGATGTATTTTTATTTTTTGTATATAAGACCAATAAATGGTGCGTATGCATATATGGTGTATTTCTTGCTTCTGATTATGTTTGAGACTTCTTATTTACATAAGTAACTTTATACATATCTTATAATGGTTTTTCCTCTGTGCTATTAAGGCATGATTGTGAGGATTGAAATGTTCTGGAGTTCATACAATTACACTCATAGCTCAGGGCAGAAAGGTTTCATGTTCTTACTTTTACCGTCTGCTTTTGTGCCAGTCGAATGTCCGTGGACAGAAATATGGTTTATTTACTCAATATGGTCGCGAAAGTCAGTGAGTCTGTCTGTCTCTGTGTTTATGAGACATAACCTTCAGGATGTCTCGAAGCTTGACAGTGTCATGCAACTATGTGCCTCTCTCCCTCCCTGTCCTTTCTCTTCAACATTATTGTGATCCAACACAGTCTGACATGTCAGAGGCCTGGTGGTCTCAGAGGCAGTCTGCTGCACTTTTGGTTTTCTGTCAAACTGGGTCAGATCAAATTCAATCCTCATATTTAATCAAATCTCAGTCAGTTCACATTGAGATCATGTTTTTTTAAAATACCCCTGAAGCTACGTCAATTTTACTGAAAAACCACACTTGGTCAGTTTGATGACTTAGGCTCTGAGCAGAGATGCTCCTGGATTTGAAATCATGAAACCCCAAGTTAAGGACAGAGGCCACAGTGTGTCATTCAAGCCTAATAATAAATGTCCACAATACAGCACTGAGTGGCAGCACAATGACTTTGTGTAGTGGTGGTGGGTGACTGGGTCAGATGACAGGTTTGGCAAATAGCAGCACAGTCATGGAGAGCCACAGTAGCAGCCTTATCAGCTCATATAAAGGCCACCTCATTGGTCGGTGAAGCCACCGCGGGACTCTGCCCACAGTTGCCCACAAGTGGTTGCATAACACGTGCACAGGGTTTTTGAGAGAAAGTGATACTCATATGTCTGCATAAGGATGATATGACCGCAAAGAACTGCAGTGGGATGATTACAGGCTTAGCATGAAGAAGACAGGGAGGGTACAGCCTTATGTGAAGCAGAGTTTAAAGTCAAAAGATATCTGTGGGTTTAGATGTGTTAACATTATCTACAGAATGAGGTGTACTTGTTTCGCTGAAGAGATTAGATGAGATTAGAGATCTATGTTGTATTGCTCTTTATATGATGATTTAGAAGCTGTGATTTGAAGAAGTACTTCTGGACAAATAATAATAAAAGCTAAAGGAAGTGGTGTTTTATGAAGATGATAGTAACATAACATAACCATTACATTAACATAGCAAACCATAAGCATAGCATCATTGAACACATTTACATAACACCACCAACATAACATAAACAGCACCAAAAGTATTAAAAGGGATTGGGGTCAATTCAGGTCATACAGCTCTTTATTTTGTTTTTAAATGCAAACCTCATTTTACTTGAAACAAGAAAATACAATTTATTGTATTATTACTATTTTTAATTAGAGTACCCTCCAGTTCAATGTGAAAGGGAATAATAAAGAGTGTTGAAATACTATTGAATTGTACTTTCTTTATTCTTTAGTTTTTGACTTCATACAGTTGATTCAACTACTAGGCTACTTCAGAATACATGGCACTGAATCATCATAACGCGTGTCGGACATATTGATGTTACGGACCTTTGCTTGAGGCACCTACCCCTCCCCCTCCAGGAGGAGACAGGGAGGAGAGAGAGAGAGGAGAGAGAGAGAGGAGGAGAGAGAGAGAGAGAGAGAGAGAGAAGCAGGCAGGCAGGAAACAGGACACCCGCGGAGGTGGAAGAAAGGGAAGGAGAAGAACCTCTACCTCCTCTCAGGCGGACTGTATTTACCGACTCCGGCAGAATGTGTACGCCATGTTGTGTCTCTCAGGTGAGGAATATTTCTACAAACCTCTTTGTTGTTGTTGTTGTCGCTCGATGGTCGTAACGTCGACTGCCGGTGCAGCCTCGTTCGCGTGTCCGCGAAACAATACGGAATTTCTTTGTGACAGTCGCCTCTCGTGTAGCTTTGAGACATGTTGGTCAGTCACAGTGATTCATGAGCAGTATGAAAGAAGACAGTTTCCTCTACTGACGCGAGCGGAGAACTTCTCTGTGGTCGCTGGAAGACAAAGAGACACGAAGCAACATCCGCCACCGAGGAGCCGCTGACCTGCACGAGAAGAGCCGTCACATTCACACATGTAGACACGTTGCTATCTGGAAACTGAGAACTCACCTCTTCTGTTCAAACCGGACGTTTGTGTTTGGTTTGCTTGTTTTCTGGACAGAAGTGCAGTTACCCACCAAACATCCTGTTTCCCAAATCCAGAAATCACACATCACTCCCATCTCCATTCAGTAACTTAACATCTGTCCCTGTAGGAATGTTTCTGAAGTTCAATTCTAAAGTTACATTCAATTAAAGGCGAACTACTTTATATGTTTTGCTGCTTCTTTGTGTTGTGAATTTCTGTTGGTGAAAAACTTTAAACATAATGTTTTGGTTTGTGTTTACGTTTTATAGATTCAATTATTTTTTACCAGAAAATTAATCAGTACCAGAAACTAGAATGGTGCCACAAACCACTGCCAATAAATATTAGTCCTCTAATAAGAGCTTTTCCCTTTTATCGAGATCCATTAAGGATTCCCTGGGAGATTGGTCAGCATTTGAAAACAAAATGCACGCACCATCTTGCAAAGTGAAGAAAAATTCCTAGATTGTGTGGATCCATGACAAAATGTGATGGTTTCTTTCTTGGCCTGTGTCCCATCCTTCAACTGTGTTTAGTAGAAATCTGTTTTTGCTAAAAAAAACAGCAACAACCTAACAGAGAGGGGCAAACAGCTACACAAAGTTGTTTGTGTTTATATATTTGCAGGGTTTAAATAGTATAAAACTTTGAAAAGACAGCAGCTAGCGGTGAATACTCAAGTGATGTGTTTAGGGTTACCGGTGCTGAGCTGGTCTGGAATTTAATTACTTAGACACATCCCTCATATAAGGAGAGCTTGGTCCTATTTCCTGTTCTTTTCAGAGACTGAGAATGATGGAAGGATTAGGAGAAAATGAAGGGCAAAATGTAAGATCAGTTTTGTGGTGGTGTGCTAATCCCAACCACAGGCGCCTCATTTAGCTTTGTCGCCCTCTCAATTTATGTGTGTACTTGTAATTAACTTTTTTTTGCCTGTGCATATATGTACCCCTCTTGAGGTTTAGAGGCCCAGGTTGATGTGTGGTCTGTTATTATATCCTCCTTGGCTTGGAGGTGGATATTATAGGAGGGTGGGCGTTGTTTGGTTTAGGTTTAGGGAGAGAAGCAGGGATGGTGTGGGAGCTCACTTGTAATTTCTCAGTGGGAGCAGGGATGTTTGCCATGTTGTGATGGGGCAGAGGGTATGGCTTCAGCTCAACATTGAGTGTTGTCCAAAGCGCTGCGAGTGTTGGCTGTGTTTGTGGGACAGGACTGAAGCTATGTGTAGGCAGAACAGTAATGGCACAGGCAATGCTGGCAGGGTGCATATGTCAGGACAACCCAGAGGGACAGAAGCTGCCATTCAACAAGAATATGAGTATGGAGTATCATTGAATAAGAAATTAAGAACTGACCCTGGCCTCTGTCGAGTATTTTAATGTTGCTCAACTCCACTCCAGTACACCATGTTTTATTCTCTAAACATTTCTGGCTGTCTTATCTTTAACCAGGGTGTTGCGAGTTAACCACAGCTGCTTTCAAAAATCCTACAACGCCCACACATTTTCCTGAAATTTTCAAAAAAGTATGTACATGTCCGAGTCAGTTGCTTCAGACATTTCTTTGCAACTTTTCCTGCCTGCCCCCTTGTAAAATGTCTGTAAAATGTCTGAGTGAGCCCATGTGAGAATACAGCAGGAAAATGTTTGGGTAATTAACACTTGCTGGACACGAAACTGAAAAAACAAAAAGAATTGAAATATATCAGGACCAAAAAGAGGTGTCATACACGCAGAAGATGTCAACGAAGATGTGAATGGAAAGACAACTTGAATTGAGAGCTTTTGGTGATGAAGGCCTGCCGCCAGTGTGGATTTGCTGGAAACTAAAAAAAATTTCACTGCAGAATTTAGACTTCATGTCCTGCAACGCTCTACCAGGGTGCCACCTCTCACCTAAGTGCTCCTTATGTTTTCCTGTTGTTGGGACCGTGTCTGACCTGGACAAGCTCCCGGAGTTAATGTCGTAAAATGGCTCAAAATAATTTGCTGATAAGTATGTGTTGGTGGGCCCTTTTTAAATACCCAGCCTACAATTGATGCAAGTTAATCATAATGATGCGATTTATTTTATGATAGGTTCTGCAGCTCTAAGGAGTGCCAGCTGACTGGCATGTAATCTTTTTTTACATAGAGAAGTAAATATTGTGAAACCCTGAACTATCACTAAACAGTTCAGCTCAGCAACACTCACTCAAGCACAGTGGCACTATCAATTGGGCGGAGCGACTGCTTGCTGCCAAGGTCACAGCTCGGCAGCTCTAATGGGCAGGTGATTCTAAAAACAAGTGTTGATGGTAAAATCACTAGAGTTGTAAAACCTGAGCCTAATATTAAAACAGCCCCTCAATATGCATAGTGCTCCCCTGGGTCAGTCATATGATTGGGATTACTCGCCCACTGTGAGACATGTCTGCTATTTTCAGCTTTGCAGGAATTTTGCTTTGGTTAGCAGCAGGAGCATGTTTTCCCACAGGGGCGTAATTGGCAATCATCCATCTCTTTTGTCCATCTGAGCTGTCATACAGTCACCAGGGATAATGTTTTCCTCACCCTCATCTTCCCATGTCTTGTCTCTTCTTTTTTCTGAGCATGGGGTTGAAGGCTGATGTAACCATGTGAAATGCCAGCTAGCTCTGTGAATGCTACCTTTTGCATCAGTCAACAGTGAATACAAGGTTGGGAGTGACATGTTATTGTGCAACTGAACTCTCACATTTGCAAACGTTGCACTTTGAGAAGTGAAACAGGCCTCTAGGTAAACACAACATGACGTTGGATTAGCCTGGTGATCTCAGGCTGCCTTGTATTTTGACTACTGCCTTCCCGTTCTTGTTTGGTCTGTTTCCGTAGATTGTTTTTGTGACTCACAAACCATTGTTTGCAGGGGATTGTCCATGTCTGCCCTCCCTTTTCACCCATTCCTCTTTTTTTTAAGTGTGTTTCTGTTTTCTTCTTGCAGTTCAGCAGACTATAGTTTCTCTCTGTTGTTTGTAGCTAGGGGCTTTATTTGCCAAGAGAGATGTAAAGACCTCCCTTTGTGTATAGGAACCAGAGCAGTGATACATTTTTGCTGTGTGTATACAGCTGCCTAGCTGAACACACAATAGAGGAGCTGTCAGTCTCAATCTAAGTGGAAATTGGAGCAGGCCTTTTATCTGGAGCTTTGGCACAACCATACATGTGGGAGAAAGATCCTGCCTTCTATTGTATTGTCTTAAAGTTTTTTTGTTTGCCCTCTCCCTCTTGTTTTTTTCATTTTCCTCTCTCTGCTGGTTTCTCCTCACAGCATTGTCGTAATTTGAGATACGAGGGTGTAGTTACATCTGAGCTTTGCCACGATTCATTGTGGTAAACGTTATCCATTGGCCAAAATCATTTAGCTCAATTTAACTGGGAGTTCCCTTCTATTTAAAGCAGCTGGCTGCAGACTGGACTAAAGAAAAGTAGGTAAAGTAGGACAGGGATTAAATATGAATGATCGGATGGCATGGATGAACAAACAAGGACACTGTGGTGTGAATCAACCTGAGGTTTATGGTCCCACTGATGCAGTTGCTGAATATTTAATGCCTCCTTCTTTCATTAACGTTGGTGCCTTCGTCAAGGACGTTATGTGTTCACCCCTGTCCGTTTGTTGGTTTCGATGTTTGATTCAAAGCAAGATTCTGCAAAAACTACTGGACAGATTGCCACAAAACAGGGTGGAAGGATACAGTATGGGTCAGGGAGGAATATGTAACTTTTTGGTGCTGATCCAGGGATTATCTTTAACATTGTGAGATTTCATTGATTTCCTAGGGAATAATTAATGGATCTCGATGAAAAAAGCACTTTAAGTGTTCATTTGTTTTGGCCTGATTGAAATTAAGGGCACTGTTGTACGCTCACCCCAACTGATAAGGGCAGATGACCTGTCAACTGCATGTGTCATGTGATTATTTTGATCCAATCATAATTAAGTGATAATTCCAGTGGTAAAATGGGGATGGATAAAAACCCTGAGATTGCAGGGCCTGTTCCCCCAGGCTCATTCAAATCTGCAGTGTGGGGACATTTTTGTTAAAAATAAAACAAGGTATGATCTGAACCTTGGATTAGGAGAACTGTTCCACCTTACTGATGAGTTTATAAAGTCAACATCTCATATCAGCTGATAGGAGGTTTTCCCCTCTGTTCAAACTTTGGCAGGAGAAAATGATATCAGCCACAGCAGAAGGTTTATTTTTGTAGCCTGTCACAAATACCAAGTATACTACCAGTATTACTTAAGTACTTTTCTTTTGGGATCCCAACCAGAATTTTGTCAGATGATGATCTCCTTACTTACTAACTTGTGTAAATGTTGTAGGAGAAAACCATTAACTGGCTCTGTATCAGTCTGCCCCCATATTTTCATTTGCTGTGCTTACAGTGTAGTGAGTGACCTAGTTTTGTGGACAGTCTGTTTCGTAAGCAGTTGCATCAGCGTGGCTCCGTGCACCAGAGTTAAATCTTGTGCATTTGATGTAGTTTGTTTCCTGTTCGTCCAGTTCTTCTCATCACTGCCGCTTTGAGGATAATGAGGCAGTGAAGGATAGAGGAGGGGAAACATGGTAATTATCACCAGCGCTAGCAGTCTGATCACAGATGTGGGTTTTAGGATTGTCCACATAAAGGACTCTATAACATTAGCATCCAACTGTAGGTCAGAAGAGGCCTTGTTGAACAAGCCAGGTCATACAGACTTAATTCTGTCTCTGCCAGCACTTGCTTCATTTTGAATGTTATATGCGTTAATCTCCTAAGGGTTTTCCCCGCTGATGTGTCCTATACCATGTAAACCTGATTCCTGTGTGTGTTTGAGGAATATCGTCTTTCTCCTGACCCCTGAACAGCTGGAAGGTGGTGGAGCGCAGGGGTGTGAGTGATTTAGGGTAAAGGGCAGCTGCAAATAACAAAGAAGGTTAAAGAGGAGAATATAAAAGGAAAAAATACAAGAGGTGACGACAACGAGTCCCCAAGTAACAGGGTGGGGGAGGATGGGAGATAGAAAAAGAGTCATCTCTTGCTCACTCAGCCTCAAGCTCTCTTTCAATCTTCTGTCTTCAGAGAGTCCCACAGTGTAGTTAGTGCAGGTCTCACAACAACCATCAGTTGAGTCTTTGTTTAATTTAATCTCACAATTGGCTTTTTCAACATTTCCCTGTTTGCTGTATCAAGGGGCGCTGCTCATTGGAACAGCAGTATGACAGGCTAGTGGGGGGTTGCTTTTTATATTGAAGTAGGGGTGTACTCTGCAGACACGGCAACCACCTGCTGGCACGCTGGTGGGTGGAGGAGGTGGATGGCCCATGAAGTGGGTAGGGTCAGGGTTTGTTACCATGGATATCCTTTCTTGTATCTGTGTGTGGTGGAATTCCCCGGGACATTTTCTTCTCCTGTGTCCCCCTCTCCCCCCCTCTGTCAGTTGCGCAGAGTTTGCTGTTGGGCCCCCTCACTGTGTGCAGTCCACTGGTGAAACACCCCCTAACTAATGAAATCTAAACACCCTCGTAGCCTAAATCGTCTGTTTCTTCCTGCTTACTCTCAGTCGGTTGTGGTTAATTAATCGCCCATTGAGAGAGACATGTGGGTGCAGCAGAGACAAAGGGGGCGGCTTATCCTCTTAAGCTGTGTGTAGTGAAATAGAGAAAAAGGGGCCACATAAATAAAACGGTTGGGATTCAAGGCTAGAGGTCTGTGTGTGCACAAAAGCAGAAATATGCACATGTAGAGAGGCCAGGTGTCAAACCTATTAATACTCGCTCATCCACGGTATCTCAAGCATTGATGAATTGTGTGCACGTGTATGAGCTTGATCCCTGCTCCCACCGTTATCCTTGAATTGATAAAAAAAACCCTGTTGGGTCCAGATTGGGAATGAACTGATCTCATTCAGGCATGAAAAAATGATTTGTTTGCTGCCCACAGCCGTTACCCAGATAGGGCGAGGAGGTTAAATTCATAATTGACCTATTTTCTGCTGTTCCTATTTTTGCTTTAACTTGTGGGTACACTCTTCATCACAAGAACACAATATCAAGTATCAAGACAGACACAATATAATGATCACAACGACATAAACTAAAATTTTCAGATGAAGAATCCTTACTCAGTGTGGTTCCCCACTGTGTTTAACTATGCCCAGGAGGTTATATTTTCACCCTTGTGTGTTGGTTTGTTTTCAAGCAAGATTACACAAAGAATGCTGGACGTTTGGCCACAGAACTTGGTGGAAGGATGTGACATGGGTCAGGGAAGAACCAATTAAATTACAAAGGGGACAGATCTTGATTTCTTTTTTCCTTTTCTTTGACATTTCTAGGTAGGGTGTTTTCCAACATTTTCTTTCATTTCTCGGAAAACAATTAATAAAAAGAAGTTTTGGGGAGTGATGTTTATGAGTGTATGCAATTTGTTGTGGTCTGAGCTGATGTCTGCAGATGATTATTGACAATGATTATTGATATTATTTAGCATCTCAAAATGTAACATTGATACTTTCTTTACTCAACTGAGAACTGGGTGGCAATATAATTGGTCTCACTTTGAACAGATTAGAACTATCAAAACAACACCACAGAAGAGCTAAAACCATTTCTTCAGTTAGAGGCAGAAAAAAACAATCAACTGGACCATCTAGAAAGGATTTGCAGGGAGATCTGTGGCTAGAGATGGACAGCAGGGAGTGGGAGGCATGTGGCCAGAGAAGGAGCTTGATCCTGACCATGTGCCTGCGAGGATCCAGTTGTCTGCAGCATACCACACATTACTGGCATCTGGAGCGGAACGCAACACATCAGACCGCGTTTGCACACTGGCTTTACTACATCAGTACATCCAGATCGTGGATTAAGACGCGCACTCGGAAGAGGAGTTAGATTACCGTTATGACTGAACGGCACATTTTACAGATGCTGCTTGGGTCGATTGCAGTTTGAAGAAAATAATTTATTATTCACCAGAGTATCCCAATAGGAATCTTGCATTGGTGGGATACATTTGTGTATCCTGTCTTGGGGTTTAAGACTCTGACAGTGCACATGCAACATCCCCTGCACATCATTCCTTCTGTATCCCTACTCCCAGTTGTTGCTACTGTAACTTGTTTGATACATTTATTTATTTAGTCATTTAGCAGACGCTTTTATCCAAAGCGACTTACAAAGGAGACATAACATTCAAGCTACATAGCAACAAAGATTTAATTTAATACCTAATTTACTGTCATGCATGAATCGTTTGTGGCAGATGTCACTAGATGGTACACAAGTTACATGAGATGGTTCAGTTCACAGCCATGACACCTTCTAATTAAGAGTTTTTACCTCTCACTTAATGCTGTAATTGTAGTTTATAAGTTTCCCTGCAGCTCAGAAAGATTTAGCTAGGGTCAGACTGAGATTGTCATGGAACCCACAGTGGCATCATTTGCTTGGTGTCATCCCATATCCCACATCCCATAATGGGAGAAAATACATAGGAAAATAGTGCATATGAGCCCTCCAGCAGTGGAGCACCAGTGTAGCCCCACAATACACCACACCTTTCACCACAGCAGTGTGTGTTCTGCCGTCTGAGAGGTAGGAGGCTTTCACGGGCAGGGTGGGGTGGCTAAAGAAAGATGGTATACTGTATAATTATAGAGCCTCCTCTTTCCTAAATAGAACAACGGGCCTGTCTTTATGAGAGGACCTGCCAGAAGAAACAGAGTAGGCCTCTCTCTGTGTGTGTGAGTGTGTCTGTGTGTGTCTTCATTCAGAAGACAAGAGCCTTCACTGTCTGACTCTGTACTGACCAAGAGTTGCCTCTTTGAAGCAATGGGAGGGATTTGTCCCTGTGACCGTAATAGAAACCATGAATGAGTTAAAGAGACAGCCAGATGAGTGTCTCCCATCGCAAATTTTTCATCTGTTCAGTTCTTGGCATAATTTTGTCTTCCTGCTCATACATGTGGTAAATTATCAGTGTGGGATCCTGAAGGCTGAAACTCTGGAAAGATATTAAAGTACACTCCCACACAAGTTACTCAAAATGACTCCACTCTCAGATCTTGGATTCTCTATGATTAACCTTGAATGCCTTTTACTGTGTTGTGTAAAGTAATAATTAAATATTGCATTTATACAATGCGGCAAAAACGATATGATATCCAGGAAAGAAAATTGTTTCATCTTGGTGAAACTAACATGCTTTAAAGACAAAGCATCAGATCATAGATTTGTGTACTCACCAATGTCCAATCAGGAATTTTCTGCACTATCAAAGCATTTCCAATGCTGGTATCAGAACATCTGGAATAAATAGGGTTATTCATGCTCACCTTGTCCCAAACTGTTGAAATTAAATATCTACCAATTCTTGTTTAACAATATCTCAAAAAGGACCAGATGGATCTCTTTCTCCATCTCATTTTTTAATCTCTCTTAATCTATATTTTTTAAGTTCCAAAGCAGTTTTGTTGGAATTAGTGAATATGTAACTCCAACCAAATTCATTTTGGTCCCATGATTCATGGAACATTTCTTTGTGCCTCATTCACTTCCATTCAGGAAGGTCAAAGAGCAGACGATGCAGCCGACAGTGATGGATGTTAAAAGAGCACTTAAACCCTGGTTCTCTGTTAAAAGTGCCCCGTAAATACATTACGTGTGTATCAGATGGCTCAGGATAGTGTAGAAAAATGTGAAAGCTAATACGGTTATGCTTTTCTTTGTGTGCAGCTGGCCTGCTGCTGCGGCTCAGCAGCCTGCTCGTGCTGCTGCAACTTCTGCCCCAAGATAAAGCAGTCTACAGGGACCCGATGTATGTACGCCCTGTACTTCCTGTTGGTTACCGTCATCTGTGTCATCATGATGTCCCCCACTGTGGAGAGGGAGCTGAGAGACCATGTGAGTACATATGTTTTGATGTATTACTCTTGTTTTTGGTTGAAAGTGTCACTTGTAAGAGGATAGAGGGGAAATGAAAGCACAGAGAGAAAAATTAGCTTTTAAATTTTGATTTTGTTTTTCAGTGCTTTTGATTTGAGAGAGTGAATGAAGTGAATAGTAAACTTTCTGTACTAAATAGTGGTCGACCGATGTGGGTTTTTTCACTTCGAGGGTCACGGGGGAGCTGGAGCCAATCCCAGCTGCCATTGGGCTAGGGGCAACTACATCCTGGACAGGTCGCCTTGCTGATTTCTTGGAGTGACAAAGTCCAGTTACTGGGCTGATAATTCTCACGATATGGATATGTCAATATTTGGACAAAGTCTTATTCTTGCTGTTTACAGTAGGGCGATAAAGTCAATTAGTTGTCAGATAGTTGTTATTGTAAATTTTTGATTTCTACAATTTAAACCAGACCTGCTGCCTTGCCTCCTTTTGTACATTTTAATATAAAATATATTCAGGTCTGTTCCCATCTTTTCAGTCTTTTCTCTGAATAGAAAGGTGGATTTGGCTCAGAGGCTGTAGTAACCAAGTCAACAGTGGCCTCAGTACCATAACCTTTACTGTTTGGCCCACTACGTGTGTACACTCTTCCCAGGCTTCACTTACAGTGTCATTTGACAAGAGTGTTGGGATAGACACACATACTGACATGGAGTGGAGGTGAAAGTCAAGATGAAGAGCATTTTTGTAGCTCACACACTATCTTTACTTTATTTTAAAATATTGGTTCCTTCATTTGAGCCAAATTTGGAGATTAGATTTCTGCTATAAAAATAATAAACTGTGCCGACATTAATTTGCTAACTGGAAAGATAAAAGATTTATTAAATTGCTACAGGCATCATTCATCACTATACAGTTTGTACCTATAGATCCCATGTGTCTCCACTAAGAAATAGGGCCACAATCGAGTAGGCAGAAGGTCAGTCTGGAATCTTTTTTGTCTTCAATCGCCCATCGAGCTTCTGAAGTTGGGAAAAGAGACGCAGGAGGAATGTAGCTCTCTCCTTTGAACTCTACAGCTTTCATGTTGTTATGTTGCCTCTTTGAATCATCTCAATGATTATTATCGGACTGAGGCTATAGCCGTACTACTTAGAGCCCCTTTTCCACTGGTCAAAAAAACACTAAAACACTAGCATGGCTTTTGTGTGCAATGGGAATGGATTCACCCTTGAGTGAAATGATAGAAATGTGACACCGAGGAGAACACGCTAATTTGGCAAGACTGAGGTGAGAGTGTGCCTTAGTTTTTGATGCGTTTGTGATGTCAAATTATATTTATTTTACCCATGTTCAAAAAAAACCTGCATATACCTGCAAGTATTTATGTAATAAATGTTTTTCAAAAGGATCTCTATCCACACAAGCATTTTGACTCCGTGTCAGTTTTATTCCCCATCCATAATAACATGCCAGAAAACCTCAGGTACACTGAGCATGTGTGTGCTGTTGTACTCAGAATTTGCAAACAAAAGCCTATGTCTTACATGTGTAAACATTTTTACCATTGGAAAATGCAGGATTTAATGCATACTACCAGCAAACTATCAGCAAGGCTTGTAATCACAAATAAAACAAATAGTATGAAATCACAAATGTTACGAATCACCAAAGGCGACATCAAACTAAAACGGGCCCTGCAGCATTCCCAAACTTCTTAATCTCAGCAACTCTCAAACTACAGAGTAGTGTGGACGCCTGGCATATCTGTTGATGCATTTTCAAATGAAAATATGGATGTAGCCTGACTCTGTCTGAGAAATAAACTAAACTGGAAGGCCTCCTCTCTTAACTGCCATAATATTCATTGGCTATTTGTCCTCAACCATGTGAGTCAGACTGTAGCCACTGTCTGGCAGATGGTGTCAGAGATGATGTCCTGATTCACTAACTCTTCATCCATTTTTTATGCGGATAGCTCAATATAGCTGTCGACAAATGATGGTGCTGTTTTTAGTACCATACCTTACATACTGTGTGTATCCACGCATACACTGTGAAAACAGAAAATAATGACGATACATCATCTGGGAAGAATTCAGCTGAAGGTGTTACCATGGCGTATCTGATGACTGATATTTTTCCACCAATCTTCCTCTGCTGTTTTTTCTTTTCTTCTTTCTGTCTCTGCCAGTGTCTACAGTACAATATTAAAACGTCTCCCTGCTGTGCACTTCCTTGTGAGAGCAGAACTCTGTAAAAGGCCTACCCAGGCACAAAATGGCCTCTGATAGCCCCACGCAAAGCCTGCTGAGTTACACACACATTCATACACATACACACACTCACTGTCAGTCACACACTGAGCACAGAGGGAAGTCCCAGCTAAGAGAGCAGCCTTTGTGCGTATGAGAGCGCCCGTCTTTTCTCAAGAGATTTACAGCAGTCTGAACCAGCAGGCCCCTTTCCCTCTAAATCTCAACACCATGGACATGCTAATATGGTCCTCAACATGAGACAAAAGATCCAAACCAGACTTTTTACTCTATGTTGTGATCTGGGTCTGGACTGAGGTACATACTGAGGAGATGACAACTCAATCCGCTGGCATCTCACTTTAAGGACAAAAGACTAATAAAGCTAAGTCAAACCATGCGTCATCTGAAATGTTGGAAAATCTTTTGTTCATGTTTTTGCTTGTGCCTCTTGTCTCTAGTATTAGAGATAGATACGAGTTACGAGTCAAGGCAACTCACCTCATCATCGGGAAGGAAGAAGAATTTGACTCTGTGGTTATTAAATGCAAAAGCTGTCTCTTGCGCTGGCTCAGAGCCACTGAAGCACTTTCATTTCTGCTGAAATGCCACAGCAGCATCCTTATCTACTTCACTCACTCCAGATTTGCTCTCTTCTTTTCAACACAGGTCACCTGAGTTCAAAGTCATTTTCAGAACTTTATAATTGGACAGATTTCCCAGTCTCTCTCTCTTACTCATGCCCCCTCTGCTTCACCCTCCTCCCAGTTTCTCTGACTCATTGACTAAAGGCTCTTAATTTATTCATCTGTGTCTTTTGTTTGTGTACACTGACAGTTAGTTGTAAGGCCCCTTTAACAGCCTGTAAAGAGCGAGGGATGAAAGAGGGCTTCATGGAGAGAAAGAGGGGTTGTTGTCGCTGCCTGTTCTCTCTTTTTGCTTCCTTCAGAGGCATGACGCTTCGAATACACACTATTGGGCCCTTTCTCTGAGGCTGCACACTAGACAAACATGAGCAGAGACTATAATGACTGTTTTCTGTGTATTATCCCTGTCAATCAGATCCCCTTTTACACCGAAATGTGTGAGAAGATTAACGCAGGAGAAAACTGCAAAACCCTGGTGGGCTACTCCGCCGTCTACAAGATGTGCTTCGGTATGGCCTGCTTCTTCTTATTCTTCGCCATCTTCACCATACGGGTCAACAACAGCACAGGCTGGAGGGCGATAGTGCATAACGGGTAAGGCCCCATGTCTTTTCTGTCACTAAACACTTCACATTTGCTGTGAAAGCAAAAGACACTTGAGCAAAGAAATATGCAGAATCTTAGAGTATGAATTAAGCAGTGAAATATTAAAAAACATTGTGTGCATGTCTTTGCTGGCTCAACTTAACAGGTGGTGTCTGAATAGTTCACTGAACATGAGCAAGATGTAAAATGAACTTCACCTACTTTGACCATCAGAACATATTAAATCTGAATATTTGAGGATTTGTTATACCAATGCAGCGCTCATTCTAAACCTGCCTGTTTGGAATGTGCTGTTTGCTTGGCCTGTGGTAATGCTGGTGGCAGATTTCTTTCTGAAGAAGTGACCTGTAGTAATTGAGCTGCACAAGTTAAGACCACCTGCTGGACTCAGTCCACAAAACCCTGAAGCTGCTCCACAGCCGCTGCACAAAGGGCTGTTCACCTGTTTATTTAAAGTTCAACGTAGCTCGAGTCAGTACGCAGAACCCCGATCTGGAGATTTAGATGTTGTTGCTGTTGTTGTACCTGTGTCCTGTGCTGTTGTGCGTGCACTGTTGTAACTTTCGTCACTGACTGATACAGAGCACTGAGTTCATTAACACTGAATGTATCTAGTGTCCAAATAGCACATAAATTCAACATAAGCTTGATTGGGCCATTAACAATCCACAAGCCAAGTGTGTGTAAAACTAATAAAATGAACTATTTACTGAGATATGCATCTCATTCACAGATTGACAGACATTTCTTGAATTAGAATATTAGATAGATTAGATATATAGAAGATTACACACTTTCTGTGTTAGCTCTCTTCTTTGTGGTGGAAATTTGTTATGGAGAGAAATAAGCTGATGAAACCACGTTTCTTTTGTATTTTATTTAAGATAAATAAGAAAATCTTGTCCTACCTACAAAAAGGAAGAGCTCTCACACCTGGAGTGAATCAGGAGGTCTGACCCTGAGCAGCATACAATAATACATAATTACAACACACAGTGTTCTGATTCTTACAAGGACAATTTGTTCCAGTGTCACAGGTAGTGAACAGATTCTCTTCTCTATTTTCTACAGTTTCCCAGGCTAGCTAAAGCACGTGTGCAGCAAGACTCATAGGTGAAGGACAGTGAGACGTTAAATCTAATGGCTATAAATAAGCTATAAGGAATGATCAAATTTTTTGTCCCAACATTTCTAAAACATTCAGAACTCTGAGGCTGTTCCGTCAGGAGTCTGTTTTGTGTATTATGTATGTTTGTTCATTTTTAATTTTCAGTGTTTTTTATATAATTTTCTCATCAATAATGTTTTTCCTGTATAGCCTTTAAAATACACAATAATTTCTTCACATGTCAGGTACTGGTTGCCGAAGTTTATTTTGCTGGTGGCATGCTGCACTGGAGGATTCTTCCTCCCACAAGAGGAAACCTTTCTGGAAGGTAAAAATGGGACACTTAGCTCTGGAGCTGTTAATTAATGTATCACTAACATAACCACATCTCTGTGGTTGCAAAGCTAAAGGTAGGAGACAGCAAGTGATAAGGAAATAGACAAACTAACTTACTCAAACAATTACCTTGTCTCACTCTCTCTCTTGTTTAATGTTACAGTGTGGCGCTACGTAGGAGCTGCTGGCGGGTTCCTTTTCCTCCTGATCCAGCTCAAGCTGTTGGTGGAGTTTGCACACAGATGGAACACAAACTGGTGAAAGCATCACATCTTCTCTGTGCTCTTGTCTCTTTTGTCCCATAAACTCCTTAAACTTGCTGTGATTTCTATTTGTTCTTGAGATACTCTGAGGGAGGACGTTTTCTTCTGCAGGGTGTTTTTGGATGTAAATAGTTTGGAAAGAGGGTGTCATGTAGCTTTGTGTGTTTGTAAGTGGAGGGGAGGCTTGGCAGCAGGCCATCCTCGCTGCAGATTCACAGGATATGCACATGGTCTCCTTTCCCTTTTTCTCTCACACAGGCAGAGACACACCCTCACTACAACAGTCAATTGTTTAAAAAGCTTTAAGTAGTTTCCTAACCAATGAAACTCAGACCTCTCAATGTATTGATATGTGCACTTGCACCTTTTAGTAAAACCCAAACTCTTTGTCTTTCTTTGACTTTTCCTTTAGGCTGACCCCTGTTGTGTTAGTTTTCTTGGTTTCTCTCTTTGTTCACTTGATCTTTTTACTTCTGTAATTTTCTTTATCCTTGTGTTTTTTTCTTTTCGCTGTCTGTTTTCTCTCTCTCCCTACCTCTTTCGTTCCATCCACAGGTATGCCGGAGTAGCATATAACAAGCTGTGGTATGCCGCTCTGGCCTTGGTGACGCTGGTGCTGTTCAGTGTTGCAGTGGGAGCCGTGGTCTTCATGGGTGTGTTCTACACCCAACCTGAGGCCTGTTTACTCAACAAAATCTTCCTGGGCATCAACGGTAGCCTCTGTCTCATCATCTCCCTGCTGGCCATCTCTCCATGCATACAGAAACGTGAGAAACCTGCACTCACACACATTAAACTAATTCTGTAATGCAAATGAGAATACAGACATTTACATTACAGGTGGTGTTTAGAGAAGGCTGCTCGCTTTATCACAGAGAGATATTTTTAAATTGCGACACATGGGACAATAGACAGTTGATAAAGATGGAGGAAGCATCTCCACTTCCTCCAACTATCCAGAAACGGAACTGAAATTTTCAGAATCTACAGGGATATCATCTTGCACATTTGGAGTCAGTGCAAAAGAGTAATCTGTTGATAGAAACTAGTGAGACATTTTACTAGAACTTTCTGTCAGTAAGTTATATTAATAATATTGAATTTACTTTTGTGTCCCTGCAGTGCAGCCCACATCAGGCCTGTTGCAGCCAGGAGTGATCAGTGTGTACGTCATGTACCTCACCTTCTCAGCCTTCTCCAGCAAACCAAAAGAAAGTGAGTATGAGCTGATGCACCCATCTGCACCTACTGTAGTAGTCACAGCCAATTGTGCCTTGATCAGCTTGCATCAGATGTCTTACATAACTGTGACACATTGTTGTGCATAGTCATTGGACAAATATAAACACAGTGTAAACCGCTTATAGTGATCACGTTTGTCTCTGATCACTAGGTGTTACTATATCCATATTGCGTAGCTTCAGTATGATAGTCCCCAAAACCTGTTGGGTGACATTGTGCACACACACACACGCTTTTCTTAAATGGGTCAAATCTTTCTTCATGGCTGCGCACGCATTCATCAGCCCATCCTGCTCGCTCTCTCTCTCTCTCTCCCCCTTCCTCTCCCTGTCTATCTCTCTCGCGCTGACATAAACACACACACTCACACACAAACAGTGTCATCAGCCACATGTGTAAATGCAGACTGGGTAAAAACAACAGAATTTGTAAACATAGTTAATGTATAGAGAGCCGGAGGAGATGGCGGGGCGCACTCGGTTTGGTTCGATTTGGTTCGATTCTGTTGGCAGTTCACAGTGCGAAGGGCAGAGACATAGAGAGTAGCATTGAATTACTGACAGATCCGGCACACTGTGGAGTGGATACTGTTACATGGTTCTGAAAATATAAAGTTGTTGATGGAGGTGACAACAGTAAACAAATGGACATGTATTGGTTCAGAAGTGTTTTAAAATAGATAAAGGGACATTTTTTTAAGTTAGTTGCTGAAGTTTTGGAGAGGGAGTTTTTCCTCCTTCAAAGTGCTTGCTCATTGTGGGAACTGTTGGGTTTCTCTATATTTAATATGATTTTAAGGTCCTGACCTTCTATGTAAAGTGCCTTGAGATAATGTATATTATGATTTGGCGCTATACAAATAAAATTGAATTGAATTGAAGTAATCTGCATTTAATCTTTTTTAAGATTATAATATGTTTTGTAGTATTGATAGACTATTAAGAATAATTGGTAATAGAATGAGGCCTTTCTGAAGCTGTTCTCAGACATGTTTTTTGGGAGTTTTCATATATGAAGAACGCAGCAGGAAATTCTCGTGTCAGACATGTTCACAATAACAAAACATCTCCAGAGCGTTGGTGGTGAGAGGTTGCGCAGCATGCAGAGGGCAGGATGTTACATATTAATTCAACTGCGAAGAGCACGTGATTTTGATAACAGCACATCAACACCGGTGTCGGCCCTCGTGGTGGAAAACAAAAAAATGATGAGGATTGAGAAGCCAAAATGTCTTATGAGAGTTTTATTGTAAGTTTTTGCAAACGGCCAGAAGGGGAACAGAATGTTATAGACAGTGGCCCAGTCTGCCATGCAAATATTTATTGGAATATCGTGGGTGAACCTGCGATAAGCACATCAAACAAGGCTGCGAGTTATGAGAGGATGAGGAGTTACAGTAAGGTAGATCTGACCAGCTGGAGTGTTTCACATTCAAGGTTAAAAAGTGTTACAAGTGTCAAGCTAACACACATACACAATACATTTCCACTACACCCTTATCACCAAAAGCTCTCGTCTTTCTTTGCCTGTTTGAAACATCATCAACTTGGTCATGGTGAATCCTCGTGAAAATATCTCTATTTTATGTCAGCACTTAAGTATACTACATACTGCTGTTGAGTTACCCACTGTATGTTGAACTATCTATATCCTTCTTTTTTTCCATTATTAACATTGTGCCAAAATACACACACATACACATTTGCTGCGTCTTTGGCAGTCTCCCTATTCCTTTTAAAACTCCCTCTACTTCTTGTGCCTCATTCATCTTTGTTTGCACTTTCTTTTTGTCCAGTCCTGGAGATAAATGGCACAAACACAACCGTGTGTGTGTTTCTCAACAATTCGGGGACAGAGAGCGACAAGAAGATTGTTACAGCTTTCGGAGCAGTTATCCTGTTTGGTTGTGTCCTTTACTCTTGGTAAGACAACACACACAGACACACASACACACACACACACACACACACCCACAAACACCCACACACACCCACACACACACATCTCTTTCATAACCATAGTGTATTTTCTTGCAGTATATCATTTTAGTGTCATATGTGTAGAGGTGGAGATCACACAACAGCCAAAATCCGAAATTAATTAACAGCTGCTGTTTGGTCAATGAGGAATAAAAGTAATGTATTTCATGGCAAGCTGTAGCGACAGCGACGGGGTTAGTTTTGATTGGCTGTGACTTCGGAGAGGCGGCGTTTGATTGGCTGTGGCTGACCTAAGCATGTGAGAGGCAAGAACGATGGCTTTCTGCGTTTGCTCACATGTGTTTCCCATCAAGTGGAGGCATCATGTCTCTTGTGGTTGGTCCTCGAGGAAGAGGGAACTGCGAAAGATTGGAAAAATGCAAAGTGACGGAATTGCAACCTCCCTGTCTCCCCCTCATCTATCTTTTTATTTCTTTCTTTCCTCTTTTCTTTTTTCCACCCTCCCTCCAGCTTGACGTCCACCACCAGACGAAGCTCTGCTGCGCTCAGGGTGTGTAGGAACAGTGAGCCAGAGACTGAGGTAAACACACAAGTATTCAGATCTCACTAAGTGTGGAGGTTAATGATATATTCAGACCGGTCTTACAGATTAATTTAAAATCCCTCTGACCAGACGCCCTTATTAAATTAAACTGATGAGGCCCCCAATAAATGAAGCACGCATCAGTTTATGTCTTACAAATATTTAATTCCAGCTCGGTGGTAACCTCTGTTTCCTCATCCTTGCAGAGAGCTCGCTGTTGTTTCTGTTTTGGAGATGACACAGGTGAGGAGGCTCTTTCAACAACACATCTCTACTGTATCTATCCCTCCCTCTTCTCTCCGCCTCAGTCCATTCAGTGTGTATGCATATGTCCCCTGCAGTAGTGTTTGCACTCTGAGGGGCTACACTCATTGCTATTCCTCAGCCTGATTGAGGATGGTGAGAAAGTATTGGTCAGCAAACACAGATGATGTCACTGTTACTAGGAGGTTAGTATGACACAGTGAAGCAGGCCCAGCGAGGAGGTGGAATTGTGGGTAGGCCTACACCGCCACCTGCTGGAAATAACACTGTTGTGTTATATATAGGAAAACAATAAAAGATATCACCATATTGACTTTAAAAAGAAGTTTTATATTTTACATAAAATGTAGCGATTAATTTAAATTAATTTAAATTATAACAATATCTTTTCTCTAGTGTTTTAAGCATTTCACACATTAAACATGTCTGACTGAACCACCTTGTGTTGATGTGTCGGTTCCAGAGGACTACGATGAGGAGAATACTGGTGGAGGACAGAACGTGGTGTACGACGAGAAACAGGGAACCATCTACGGCTACACCTACTTCCACTCTGTCTTCTTCCTGGGTTCCCTTTATGTCATGATGACCGTCACCAACTGGTTCCAGTAAGTGACACACTTAATCTGCTGTGGTTATGTGCACTCAGTGCTCCTGTTATGGACAATGAAAAGAAGGCAATAGTTGTTTTTCTCCCTGCTCCATTTCATACATTTTAACTCCAACTAATTCAGATTATTTGACAGAGAGGAGGCCTCCTCTCTGTGACTCAGTCTGAAGACCAATGAAAGCTCACTGCAGAGCAAAGACTATCTGTTCATTCTTATACTTTCCCACAAACCCATTCTTCTTCATATTCAATAATTAACTTAATGTTTCTAATTTCATTTGATGTAGTCTCTTCAAGTAAATTCTCCATTTTTATGCAAACACATTTTATCTTATGACTCTTCTAAAGATTGAGGCATTAATATGGTTAAATATGTTCTCAGATTAAGAGTGACTTATTAACTCAGCATCAGAGATCATGTGATTATCTTTTCAACACACAGACACCTGCGTCAGCTCTTATCACCACAAACTCTCTTGACATCTTCGTTGGTGTCTTCTACGTGTATGACACCACTTTGTCACTGGGGATATTGGTTTTCTTTGGGGTTTTTTTAAACACTGATACTTGCTAGCGATGAATCCAGCGGGGGGATCCCCTGCTGTGTTCACACATTTCAATTCTCCTGAATCTCTACTGACTTTATACTAAGGGGGGGGCGAGGCGGAGAAAGTCAGATACTGCAGAGCCTCTCACTCGGACATTTGTGTTCACACATGCAATACGGAGGATCTGGAGAATTTAGTGCATGTCTGAAAGCAGCTCTATTAATACAAGTTTTCATTATTGTCCTGGGTTGTGAATGCACTATTGTCTATTGGCGTTCAAATAAAAACAGCAGTTTGTCTTTGTCCTATGTTTATCTTTGCTCAGTTCTCTGACTGTGTGCGTCTCTTGCAGTTATGATAATCATAAGATTGAGGCGCTGTTGGATGGCAGTTGGTCAGTGTTCTGGATCAAGATGGCCTCCTGTTGGGTCTGTCTCATCCTCTACATGTGGACCCTCATTGCTCCTATGGTCTGCCCAAAGCGTTTTGAGGCGTAGGACGCACATCGCTACTCGAGGATCGTACTCCTCTGATTCTCTGGATACGGGCAGACTTAAACCTCCCACGCTGAGCCAAGGGACCACCACAATTCCCCCTTTTCTTTGAAACACGACCCCACACCACCCTCAGCGTTTGAAAGGGAGGATCATCTGTTGCCTTTTGTTTTATATGCTAGTGGTAGTTTTTACATTGTTCAACAATATTAAGTTGTCAATACCTTGACGGTAATTTTTTAAAGATTCTTTACTACCATAACTCCTGGATTACTTATAGGTTTGAAATTACATGAAGAATCATAGGAGGTGAATTACATGAAACACGAGAAGAATCCGGTTCCTATCAATTCACTGATCATTTCAGACTTGTGCGTGTTTTGTTGTTGTTTTATGTGTGTGTCTTTTCTATTGGATTCTTACTTTTACTTTCACCCAAGTATTTCAGTTCTGTACAGTTGGACTATAAAGTTGTAGCAAGGTTTTGGGACAAATTTATTTCAAGATTAGAGATGTTACATGAGAAACTGTATTTATTCAAGTGTGTCCTAAGTAATCAGAAGAAATGTGGTGGAAACTGAATTAGATTTGCCCCTAACTCTGTTTAAAACCTCATCTCTCAGGCTCACATGAAAGCTGTATTATGTTTATGCTTTATTATATCGATCCCCTTTTGTAGGAGTTTTCTATGCAACCGAACAAGCTTGATATTAGATAAGCTGTGTTGTGAAGGTTCCACTTAGATCACAAGGATAAATGTTAAAAAAAAAATTTGATGCTCCCTTTGAGTCAAATCTTTTTTTAGGAAAAATCAGTGTCATATGTTCAAGGTTTCCAGTCCACGCAGTGTGGTACGGGCATTGCTCTTCAAATCAACCTTTGTAACCTTTTGTAAGAATGACGTCAGAGAAGTGCCGCCTCTCCAGAAGAGCTGCAGTGACACAACAGTGAATATTTGCCAAAGGTAGATGTCAGAAAAATACAAATTCCTCTGTCTTATTGTTTGGTCTGTTACAGAGAAAGTATACCTGAGAGCATAATGTATTTGCATGCCCATGCAGACACTCATGCTGTTTAGTTGTTTTCTGTACAGTCATGAAGTCTTTATGCCTTGGTTTGTTACACACAGCTCAGATTGGTGGTCTGAATAAGGTCACATGAGTGGTTTTACTGGTGCATTATTCAACACTGGATGTTGAGTTTACTGCCAAATTCAGACAAAGACATTTACCGTTTATTACCTGTGTGTCAGGTTTTGTATAAAAATACAATATATTGTGATCTGCAAGTTATTTTCTGTTTCATCATCAAAACTAAACCATTAAGTTTGTTTGTCTAATTGTTTACTTAACATGTTTTATAATAACTTAAATGTACATTTTGTCTAAAGTTCTCTGATCTGTGGAAATTATTGATTTGAGTCTTGCTGTCATGTGACTTCTCTCTTTGAAAGTATTTCAGCATTAAAGTTACTGGTATGAATGTAGAGATAAAATGGTGCTCAGGGCAGCTTTGATATTCAAGAATTAAAATCAGACAACAGGACCAACAGTGAAGGCTGTGCAAATCCATACCATTTAGAAATACTTTCTGACCAAGCTGTGTTTAAAAGAAGGAGATGTGCTTGTCATGCAGTTCAAAATCTTCACACTTTCAATAAACCATCCATTGAAGGTCATGTGTTGTCTTTATTTGCAGATAAAGTTTTCCTTCATACAGATACACATTTTGACTGACCTCGTGTAAAACTAGAAATAGCCCCTTGCAGTTGTATGCCTCTAACAACCAGTGTAGTTACAGTCAACATGTAATTTACTGTGACCTTTGACCACTGAAATCTTGAAGCTTAATCTTTGAGTTCAAGTGACAACTTGTAGTCAAAATTTGAAGAAATGCCCTAAAGGCTGACTTGAGATATGATGTTGAAGAAGCTTAAGAGGTCCCAGAGATGTTTGACCATCAAAATGGAATCACTTTATCAGTGAGGCTAAGTGAATATTTGTGCCAAATTTGAAAGGATTCCCTCGGGGAGTTCTCAAGATAAAACAGTCACAGGGCAAAAGCCTGACCACCAAATTTTAATTCGGTCATCCTTGGGTCAAATTGAATCTTAGTGACAAATTTGATAAAATTCTCATGTGCTAAACTTACATTTTTTCCAAATTTAAAGGAATTCCCTCATCTTGAGTCAAATTGAATGTTGAACAATATCTAACGTTTGTGGCCACTGGCTGTCACCGGTGCTGAGGCACAAAAATGATAAAGCTTACTTGGTTTTTGTGAATTGCTGCATTTTATTGTATTTACATCTAAACACAGTATTTCCTCTTAAACAGTTTTCATAAAATGCCGATAAAACTGAAGGTGATATTGCATAGACATATACAGAACCTGTTCATTGATACAAGAATATACTGGCTTCAGTTACATCACACTAAATTGAAGATAAGTATATAATGACCATCACTCTAATGATCATGACAACATGTTACCAAATTCATCATTCAATTTCTAACTCAGGGTCTCTACCTCTTTGCCCTCAGCCGTGCAGCTCTGCCTTTTAATCCATGTTTTCAGCAGCGCTCAATTCGTCTCCCTGAAGGATCACTTCCCTCTCTGGCTTCACTCTGTGCTCTGAGCACTGACATCCTGATAGTCGGCAGGAATTGTGTCTATGGAGACGAGAAATGGGAAGAAAAATCATAAGCATAGCTGAAGCTTATGGAGCATTTGTGGGACTGCCTCAACTTGCAGACACTCACCGTTGCAACGATACTTCAAATTGGACCAGATAATGTTTTCCTGAGAGAAGCAGAACACTCCCAGTCGCCCCCCTCTCATACTGGTGTCAATTATCACGCCTGTGTCTGCCACCAGGTTTGAACCCTCAAAAAAACGAGCTCTGGTGTAGACATGAGGGGAAAGTAGTTAGTCTGTTCACACAGGATGAATGGATAGATAGATGGATGGATAGATAGATAGATACATACATACATACATACATACATACATACATACATACATACATACTGACTATCTTATGTAGTTTGCTTGATTGAAACAAAAAGTTAAAAACACTCACCAAAGGAGTGAGAGAAAATAACCACTTTATCTGTATCTACTCTGAGTTGTGAACTCCATCCTGTGTTCATCTATCACTTCAATTTCTTCCACATCAATAGTCATCTCCTGTCCACTTGTGATCAGATCGCTCAGGACAGATGTTAATAACAGGTCTGAACGGGGTCTATGTGTCAGAGCGATGGTGTGTGTCTGTACCTGATGTATCCAACCTGTGGTCGGTGCTGGAGGAACCAGCGGTAGGAAACCTTGTCCTTCCAGCCGACGTTCCTGGGGTCTTTCCACAGGAGACGGACCTGTCCGGTGGTGTCCCCTGTGTGCCAGAGGGAGTTCCTCAGATGCTCCCCTGGGCCTGTCTCCGACTTCACCATCTGAAGAGCCAGAAAAGATGAGAGAGGAATAACTGATACTGACAACAGGTGATGATCTACAGATCCACGTACCCTCTCCGCTCACCTTGAGCTGTATTCCCGGCTCTGCAACAGCTCTGAAGGGCGCAGCCTGCCAGTAGGTTTGTTCCGTCTGTTTCCACATCACCACGTAGAACGAGGAGGAGTCCTGGTAGCCGAAGATGAAGCCTGTGTAGTCGTCGTCTGTCACCGTGTTCACGTGGAATGTTCCCTCGAAGTCGACCCCGCTGAACGCTTTGTAGCCTGTAGATGTGGACAGCGGAGAAGGAGAAGACACAGCAGTGCTGGTTACTGAAGAGCCCAGTGAAGAAAATAGGTAATAATAAGGATGGTGTCTTTACGTACCTACGGCAAGGCCAGGGTCAGAGTTCATGGTCTGCACTATCTCCATGCCCTAAGAGAGAGTTTATTTGTGCTGTCATGTCAAATGTTGTTGCTTCATTTGAAGAAAAACAATGATCAAATCTTACTATCCACCAGCATCCAATCTTTTACAGAACACCTTCCATTTCTGAGCCACAAGCACGTGGCTCAGAAATGGAAGCTGTAGTTCACCTGGTTGAGAACCATCCAGTTGGGGTCGATCTGGGAGTCACCCTCTGGGTCCAGCACGACCGTCTGATAGGCTCTGAAGTCGGTCAGTGTGACCTCAGCGTTCTCTGGGCAGAGGTCGATGATGTCGATGACATTGTCTTTGTCAAAGTCCCCTTCACATGCATCGCCAACTTTGTTGTCTGAAAGTGACAAGGTCATGCTTCAGAAACCTCACAGCAGCAAATACTGTATTACACATATACACACACACACACACGGCAAATGATGCTCACTGTCTGAGTCCTTTTGGTCTGGGTTGGGAACTAGTCTGCAGTTGTCTTCGTTGTCCAGTATGCCGTCATTATCATCGTCATCGTCACATTCATCTCCCTACCAAAAAAAGGGGGGACACTGTAAACACAACCATTTGCAGTACACGTCAGCATACATGACTAATTGATTAATATAAGGATGAATAAAGAGACAGTTTCAAACCTTTCCATCCTTGTCAGTGTCCAGCTGAGAGGAGTTGATAACTGTGGGACAGTTGTCATTTGTGTTCTGGTGTCCGTCCCCATCACTGACAAACAAGAGTTTATGCAGGTGGAACTTATGACATAACAGTGGACATCTTAAATAAACGTAATAATACCACAGGACATGAGAGTGACCCGTCTCTACCTGTCTATGTTGTCGTCACAGCTATCTCCAATCAGGTCATCGTCTGAGTCAGACTGCAGGTGAACAAAACAGACACTGTTGATCAGAGGTATGACAGCAGATTATTACTTCCACCAAGGAGATTATGTTTTTGTGTGTTTGTTAGTTTGGTGGAGAGGTGGGACACAACCCGGTTTGCCAAATTCAGGGTGCACACCCAGGATTTAATTTTCTTTAACATTTCTTTAACATGTAGTGAATTTAAAAGTGGTTTCATAAGGGGACTGCTGGGCCTTGGTGGAAGTATACTGAGTACCATTTTTTGAGGTTGTTGTTTGGTTTTTTACCTGGTTAGGGTTAGCCATGTCAGGACAGCTGTCACAGACATCCCCCACCCCGTCATGGTCTCTGTCTCTCTGGTCTGGGTTGGGGACTTGCGGGCAATTGTCGAGAATATTCTTCAAGTCTGACAACATAAACACCCGAGCGGCTTTAATTTCAACCTAATGTGCAAAAGCATTGACAGGAAAATGTTAAAAAAGCATGACAGAGCACAGCCTAGAGACACAGTCTGTCAAATGCATCAGCAGATGGCAGTGTTTGTAAGCGAGGAAGGTGAAATAGTTTCCAGTGGCCTTCAATGCCTGGCAAAGGCTCACAATGGAAAAATGCTTTCAGAGAGGACACAGACGTGTCCAAACGCTGAGCAATCCAGCCCTGAGAGTTAAAGACATAACCAAACGAGAGCCTGGAGCTCCGCCAGACTGAGTGAACAGCAGCAACAGAACAAAGTGTAAACAGGCAGCGGACTTAAGCATGTGAAGGTAAACATGCAGGCTCACACCGAGGCAAGACCTTTAAACTGTTTCCAGTGGAAGAAATGAGAGATCAAGTGAAGTATGTGAGAATCAACACTTGGGACTCCAGTTGGAACATTTTAACATTTAACACTGTTTTCTACTGGGGCTTGTGATTTTTGATGCTTGAGTTATTTCTCTGTAAGCCAATGATCAAACTGGCAAAGGATGTGAATTGGAAACAGAAAATGACGGGGAGGACATTTTCCAGATCTGGACAGTGTGGTCCAGACAGGCTGACGTTTGGATGACCCTCCTGGACACGGTAGCTCTAATTGATGTTATAAAAGCAGTATTGGTCCTGTTACTTATCCTCCAACAGTGATGACCATCCAACTTTTATTCAGTGACTGTGGGCATTTAGAAAAGTGACAGTTGCTGCAGCGTGTCCCTGTAATTAAGCCCACGACCACAGAACTATGAGGATATAATGAACATTTGGCTGCTAATTACTAACTAATGCACTTACTGTCTCCATCCATGTCATCATCACATTCATCTCCCAGCCCGTCCTGGTCTGTATCTGTCTGTTTGGGATTGTCTACAGTTTTGCAGTTGTCACATGCGTCACCGTGGACATCCTTGTCGCTGTTCCTCTGGTCCACATTAGGAACGAGCCAGCAGTTGTCCTGGGACGGAAAAAAGAGGTTCACTCTACAATGCATAGGTCAGACGAGTATTCATAAAACTTGTGAAGTCACCTACATCAATGTTAATGATGCCATCGCTGTCTGCATCATCATCGCAGGCGTCACCCGCCCCATCCCTGTCTGCGTCCTCTTGGCCAGAGTTTGGCACAAACACACAGTTGTCCTGGGGAACACACATGGTGTTAGGTTTTATTATAACAATGAGTGAATTGCATGAGAGGATAGCGGGTGTAGAAATGAGTACCTGCTTACAGTTGTTGTCTCTGCACTTGAGTTTTATGTCAGGATATGCGTCAATATCTGTGTCCTTTCCACACACGTAGCCATTACCTGCCCAGCCGACGCCACACTAAACAACACAGACACAAACAGGAGGAAAAGGGACAGCATCACATCCTGTGTTCACCATCTAATGTGGAACAGCACGATTCGTGATGCAGAGGCCTCTGTGTAAAGCCTCAAGATTTTTACCACACAGCTGATGCT